AGACAATTGCAGAGGCCAGTACGTTCGATGCCTACACCGATGTCGTTGCCGAGCTGCACGCAAAATATTCCAAGTCTCCAGAGGTGATACGATATGTGGAGAGCACATGGTTAGGGCACCGCGAGAAGTTTGTGAAGGCTTGGACCAACCGAGTGACACATTTTGGAAACACAACTTCCTGTAGGGTGGAGAGTGCCCACTCTGTGCTGAAGGAGTGGCTGAAATAAAGTGATTGAAATCAAGTACGTACTGCAATTTTTAAATGCGTTATTATATTACTGCATTAATTAATTATAATCTAACGTTATGTAACGTATTATCAGGACGGCGCTTGAGGCCTCGAGATCTAAGAAGAATACACGGTATAAGGAAATCCTTTCTGCGAGCGTGATACTGAGAGTCTCGCATTACTGTCTGAGTTTATTAGACGCTGAGCTTACGAGGATGCACGGCTTGGACGCCGATGTTTACACTAGCTGCGGCTGTGTATTGCAGCTCACTCATGGACTTCCTTGTTCCTGTCTGCTCCGCAGCGCAGTTGATTTCAACATTCCGATTGATCTCGGAATGATTCACCAGTTCTGGAGAACGCTACAGATATTAGAGCCAGGTAATTTAAGGTTAATGTTTTATTTATAATTTTCTATTAAAATACATTATTTGGTTTAATTCATTGACTTTTTTATCATATACTTGTAGGGACTGGTCATCAGAGCCAGGCGAGCCACGCTGCATGGTCAGATGCGGAGTTCTTTCAGACGCTTGTGAGTGAGGTTGAAACCCGCGATCCCGCAACGATGCGGTACGTGAATCAGTTCATGTACAGTCATCTTTACCCAGACCAACAGGATTATGCGGAACCTGAGGTTAAGGATAACCCGCGAGGTCGTCCCAAGAAAACTAATTCAAATAAGCATAAACCATCTGCTTTTGAGTACAACGATAGATCGCGAGGTCGGAAATTGAGCCGTACGATCACTTCTTCGCGTGGACAGACAAGTTCGTCTTCTCAACAGTCACAAGGGGAAGCAGGTCATACATTTTTTTTTTTAAATATGGATGAGCGTTAATTAAAGTATTTATATGATTATATAAATTGTGACGTGAAATTATTATGATATTTATTGCAGAGTTTGGACCGACAAAATATATTTGGATTTTCAATGTGGCAAAATGTCCCCTGGCATATGTTGGACTACATAGTGAGTTACCTGAATGTGGATGCGGACGGTAACTGCGGATTTCAAGTCATCACGAGTCACGTGTATGGTCACCAGAAGTACTGGGCAGATGCAAGAGAAAGCATTGCGAATGAGGTCGACAGCCACCGTGAATTATACGAGTACATCTATTTTAGAGATATCGACACCGGACTCCGTCGCGTAAGGTGGGGCAACGGCCCTTGTGGACGGGCTCACTAGTTCGAAGTTCCGCAGGACCTCTACGCCGTTGCGACCCTATTTAATGCGGTTGTCGTTCTGTTGGGCTCTGGTCCGCAAGGTGGGCAGCACGGCTTATTCAGCATCACAGTGTTGCCTCTCATTGCACGATCATCGGCTAGAGGACCATGTCGTGAGATTGTCATGTGCCATCTTGGTACCGTAGAACACTACATTCATTTAGATTTGACTCATGATTGTCCATTACCGCCTATTCATTCCATGTGGTTCCGTTACCGAGATCGATCGGTTGTGGGTTGGGAGGATCAGTACGAGGCTAGGTTGCAATTGTGGTTTACTATTAAAAAAAAACCTTGTTGAATAAAAGAACGATATTATTCACTTGTGGTATGACGTTTCTCATTCAACTTAAGTTTAGCAAATAAAAAACAAAATGTATCAGTTCAACTCTATTTTAGCAAAAACAAAAAAAAAAAACCATTCAACTTAATGTTTTACAAATAATAAATAAAAAAAAAAAGTCATTCAACATAATGTTTTACAATAATAATTAAAAAAAACATTCATTACATCATTATTGGGCATTGTCGTAATCCAACTTAAACTTAGCCAGTTCTTCTTGGACTTCCGCCGCCACCGGACATTCGCATCCCTGCTGCCAAATCGATGTAATGCCCAAAAGACGGTTCACCCACTAAACAAATGGAAGAATAAAAAGATAAGACTAAAATTTATTAAAAAAAAAAGTTATTGTAATGAAATAACATTAATTAAAATTTAGTAACTAACTTACATAGGCGGTATTAACACGCGTAGGGACCTCGTTCTCGTCCGGCAGCTCCTCACCCATGAGAGTCGGATGGGAAACCCGACTGTACCACCGCAGGTAATCCTCAGTCGCCTCCCTGCGATCCTGTGTGGTGGGGGTCGACATACCGGTGTTGACCGTCCCAGAAATCGGGAACTGGGTCTAAGCACCTACTGCAGCAGCCTCAGAATGCTCAACCCTGTAGTTCCTAGACTCCCAAGCACGTACTGCACTGATTGGCGGGTATGTAGGGGGAGGGACAGTCTGGACATACCCCAACTGACGCAGACACCGCGCAGGCAAGTACGGCTCGACGACATCGCGGTATCGAATCAATCCGCTATAAAGAGTCCCCGGCTCTATCTCATTTGGGCTGGAGTTGCCGTATGGCAACCATTGCACCTGTTCACAATTGCATAAAGCATTTATAAAAATAATTATATTATTTTAAATAACGGGTAACTAAATTTAAATAAAATAACTTCACGTACATCTGAGGCAGTGAGTCTGTCGAGGCGCCGACGGATGGCTGTGAGCTGATCGTCTGACCGTGGCGCATTCCCTACGCTCCACGAGCGTGATCGTGCGAGACAGTCAGGACCGATGGGTAGACGCCCCCGGGGTCGGAAATCGGGGAAATACTCATATATCCAAGACTGCAGAAGAGTCAAGCAGCCCGACATCTGGGCAGAGTCCCCTCGGCTGGCAATACCTAGCTGTCTGTACATGTATGCCAGCGTAGCCGATCCCCTTGAGTAATCCCCAATCAAATCCAAGCCGTCGAGCACCTCGTGCAGGAGTTTGGGGGTCACTCCACTACCACTCTTGTCGACGAACAATGTGGTAGCCAGCATCACCCACATCCAGGCACCCGCCTCATCCCTAGCCGGCCGGCCTTTCCCCTAAATGCCCCGAAATGGCGGCTTCGAACACCGAACCACGCTGCCAGAACGAACTCATGAGTTCGCCCTTGGTGACCGAAAGTATCGACATGCAGAGCCCATGGCAGGCGTCCGAATCCGGGTCCTCAGCGACCATGGCTCCCTCCACAAGAACGCCCAAAATGGCCCGGACGTCGTGCAGCATGATGCTCATTTCACCAAAAGGCAGGTGAAACGAGTTAGTATCCGGCTGCCATCGCTCCACAAACGCAGAAAGGAGTGGGGTGTCCAAGTGGATGTGCATGGAGTCGGCCAAATGTGACAGTCCGGTCTGGTCGAGAAAAGCTCTCGCATCGGAAGACATCTCTTCACACCAAGCCTTCAGATTCTCGATCGCTCTCAGTCTGTTGTGGCATTTCAGCGGCCCCCTCAAATCTCCACTCCACATGCGGGAGGCGACGTACCCTAGAAAGTTAGGGATGACACTCCCATCAATGGGCCCACCGGGCACTGGGCCTTTAACGATCCAGGGTGCATCATCATCGGTCCTAACTCGTTTGCTAGTACCTGCATTAAAATACAACATATCTGTATATATTGACTTGCTGAAAGATGCATTAAATAAAATATATTTAATAAAACATATTTCATAAATTTCCCGTTCTTTTTTTTTTCAATTCATGTACAAACGTTACATTTTACATTAATAAAATATAATGAAAATTTTAAACTAATTTATTATGTAACATTATTACTAATTGATTATAACAATAATAAAAATAATTATAATAATTTTTTAATTAATTAATTGTATGGTTCTTCTAAATTACAAGATAATTATACCGTAGTTGAGGAGCAGGCCGATTATACTTTTCTAACAGTACCGATAATTTGTTATGATTAAATAAAAATAATTTATGTTAAACAACAATAAATACGTAAATTATTTACCTGATGAGGATGAAGATGGGCCAAAACGCCCCCCAGCCTGTCGTTGAGGAGCAGCCTATGTAGGACGAACAGCCTGTACCGAACGAACAGGCTGTACAGAAGGACGAGGGTGGCTAGGAACCGTAGGCTGTGCGTGGTCCTGATCATCTGAGGAGTCGTCCGAGTCACACTCCTCTGAACGCTGCTCCCTTTCACCGTACGACTCATCAGCATACCCCTGCTGACCATAGGGTAATGGTACGCGTGCGCGAGGAGGTATCGACTTCCCTGCGTAGCGGGGAAAAGCATATCGCGACTGATCGTACGGTCCTGGTGCCGGGGGCATCGAACTGCCTGCCTGGCCAGGATAATAAAATCCATGATCACCGTACGGAAGGACTCCGTGGAGTCGCGAACTATCTGGCTAGCCCTCAAAATGATATCCCTGTGGACCATCTCGCACTGGTGCGGGGGGTCTCGAACTCTGCCTAGCCTGACGAATCTGTATCCTCCGAGCCTCATCGATCATCGCCTGCCTTTCCATGTCCCTCTCCCGACGAACGGATGCATTGACACCCCGACTTCTAGCGTGTCGGGTGCCAGAACCATCATAATAGTCATCGAACGCCTCGTCGTCGTCCCTGGCATTAGATTGTCCAGGTCTGTCATCACTCTGAATCAGAAATATAATTATTAAATTTTTCCATATGTAATGACTATTTTAATAACTATTACAATAGATTATAATTCATTTTTATTTTAATATATAAATTTTATTCATTATTATTATAATTATAATTGTTGAGATTTATAATAGTTATTATAATTTTATATTTAAATTATTATAATTAATACTAATTTATAATTATTATTATATTTAATTATAATTATCATTACAAATTATTATTATTATTTCTTATAATATTATTATTATAAGCATTTATAATTTATAATTATTAATATTATTAATATTATTTTTAGAATTTATAATTAATTATAATTTATTCAACTTATTATTATTATAATATTTAATAATTATTATTATAATATATA